TGCCTGCAGAGTTCATTAAAAAAAACAAAAAAAACCCACATACAGTTAAAATCTATCTAAAGTCTATTCCAGCAATTCCAGCAGCTATCATGGGGACACAAAACTTACTTAATAAGATGTGAACAAGTTATGGTAAAAAAATAAATAAAAAAAAAACTTCCATCAAAATCGAATATCACTCAAGTTTAAGTGTGGCCCTGTCCCACATAAGATAAGATAAGAAGAACTTTATTTATTCGGAGGAAAAATTCTTTTGTCATACACATGCTCAATGCAGCAAGAGAGACAGAGGAACAGAGGAGTCATTGCATTGATGGAGATGGGCTTTGATGAAAAGGAGGTGATCGATGCTCTGAGAGTCAATAACAACCAACAGGATGCAGCGGTAAGTTTACACATCGTCAGTAGTTTTACTATTAATAAACAAATTTAACAGTTAGCTCCCTCCCCCCAGTAATTTCTGAAACCTTCCAAAAACAACAAGTCCAGTAACATTGAATACCTGTTTCACTTGTTTTCAGTTAATTTTATACTTTGACTTCCATAAAGATTTTAATTGGTGTCCTTTTTGTTCCTTACTGTGTATTCCTGCAGTGTGAGTGGCTGTTGGGAGACAGGAAACCTTCTCCAGAAGATCTGGACAAAGGCATCGACACCAACAGCCCACTGTTTCAAGCCATCCTGGAAAATCCAGTCGTCCAGCTGGGTTTAACCAATCCCAAAACTCTTCTAGGTATAGTCTCATTGAGTGTAAAAGCCAACGTAGTGTCCTGTTTTTGAAAATTCTCCCCTAAAGTAATATTAAAAACTTTTTGACATCCTTATATTATTGTGTAGTTTTAGGAACTCAAATATAGTCTCATTCTGTAAAATGAGACAGAAAAACCACCAGCAGCTGAAAAAGATCTTGCTGAGACGTCCAGGAAAACTGTTCGAACAGTGTGAAATCATTCTTTTTATTTCATTCACCTGTGTATATATGGTTATTTTATATTATGTTTTGTTGTTTGTGTGATACTAAACATCCATGAAGACTTGTGCTTTGGTTTCGGTGAGTGAAGTTCTGATATTTTATTAGTCTGTTACTTTTTTTTCTTGATATCTGTCCCTATAGGTTAGCTAATAACCCAACACTCCACTCGCTTGTTCAAAAACGGTCACTCCTGGCTCCAAAACATGATATATAAAACATAAAGAAGCAATGAAGGCACTAACGTTTAGGCTTTAAGTCACTGAGCCCAAAACCAGCGGTTGACATCAGTGTCCACTTAAGGCATATGACATAGAGAAAGGCCTGTCTACCTGTCTTCACCAGTTGACAGAAGAGGGGAAAGATTTGTGGGTTGGGGGTCTATTATATAACTCACAAATATGCTTTGTGTTTATGTGCAGCGTTTGAAGACATGCTGGAGAATCCTCTGAACAGCACCCAGTGGATGAACGATCCCGAGACCGGCCCTGTCATGCTACAAATATCCAGAATCTTCCTGACCCTCAATCTCACATAGAGCCTCCTGGTGACCCCCCCCCCCCCCCCCCCCATCCCGTGTATGACTGTGGCAGCTTTGTGTGTATGTGTTTGTGTGTTTGATCACACTGAGGCGTACGCTTGCATGTATGAATGTGTATGTATGAGCGTGGGAGAGACACAAGTATTGTTTTTTGCCTTTTAAAGACAAAGAGAGAGGAGTCAAAGTATGAATGAAGATGTTACACATATAACTATTTATAACAATACAGTAAAAACACTTATACAAAACAGATGTTAACATAAAGTTATTATTACAGTAATAATAATAATATAAATTGAGATTTAGTATATTGTTTTTACATTTTAATGATAACAATTTATAGGTATGACAGACATGATTTATTTTATATAATTTGTCCACGTGTAAAAATGACATCAGACATCAATTTAATGTTTACACTTCAACAAAAACTGTTTTCTATGTTTTGCAATATTTAAAAATCAACTGCAGTTTTCAGTGTCTCTTTAAAATGTTTCATCAGTGGTGAATGTGTGGAAGACTTCTGTCAGTATCACATCTTCTTTTTCTTCTCCCTCTGTTTTAATCAAAAATCAGTGCTTTATAACTGAGAGGAAAAAGTAGAGTCAAAGAGGATTTTTAAAAAGAAATCTTCATTGAGCTTCTTCAAACGTATTTATTTTACTTTCTTGCCTTTTAGAGCAAAACTGTACACTAAATCATGTCTCAGTCATGTTTTTACAAGAAGATTTTATATTAGGCCTGTGTGTGTTTACTGTCGATGTGCTCATGATTGTCATATTGTCATGTTGCTCTCGTCTGGCACTTCTTCACCTCTATGAATATCGCGTACCGCAGCACTAGTACAAGAAGAAAGAAGGGTTTGTGTGTTGTCTCAAAAGCATGTACTGGTAGCGAAGAAGTGAAGCTTATCACAAGGTGGTTGCCTTTTTAAACTTAACTTTGAATGATGAAGATGCATGCTCGCTTCATACTTGAGAGGTGCGAGTGTCTTCAAACATATGTGGAAACAATAGAAGTTGACATGCAACCAATTTCTATGTTTTGATTTGTTTTTTTGTTTTTTCCTTTTTTTTTTCTTCCTTTTTGAGAGCAACAAACATTTATGCTGTCAAACCAAAATGTCACTGTATAACCTGCCTTGTCATTAGATGTACCCAGTGGAGAAAAACCCTGTATTTCTGTGCAATAGCAAGGACTTCTGTTGACCTGTATAGACATATATTTGAGTGTTAGAGATGTGTGAACTGCAATGGGTAGTGTGTTAATAATAGCCTTTGCATTGAGTACTTAAAGTCTCCAGATACATGAAGGAGAGCATTGCCTCTCCTTGTTGTACAAGAGATTTAAAAACAATATGGAGGGTGGTGTGTTTTGCCAAGTTTTTGAGTGTTTTTATTCAATATTTAAAATATGGTGTTGATGTGACTTTTTGCTCAGGGAGGCTGAGATTGTTTTTCTAAACTTGTCGCTATGGCAAACCTCTGCTCTACCCCCTTCTAGTTTGGCATTTGAGAAATGGCTTTAACTAATCTGTGTAGAACTTTACCTATGAATAAGAGCACCACATCAAATGGTTTGGTAAATGCAATATTTGAAAATATTTAAATGTTTTTAGAGAAAATTGTCTGGTTGAACTATATATTACATTATTTATATCAAAGCCAAACTAGTAATATGTTCATATTTATAACATTTTTAGCAAACCTTGAAGCTAATCTACAAATGTGAAAAAATATAATGCTTCAAATGTTGTTTTTACAAACCATCATTAAAATGTGTTTATGGACTGGTAGGTCACAGTGTGATACAAAGTAATGCAGCATGTTTGAATTTATGGAAACCTTTCTGCACACTGTGCCCAATTGGAAATCTGTCATGGCCATCGTGACCAGTTGTCTCACCACCTCCATGCTTTGCATTGGCATGAATACCAAACTATCTTTCCCTCTTAATATTCTGATACGAACATTGGGAGATTGTACGCTTAAGGAAGAAAAATGGCCACAGGAAATGCTGAAAACGGTCAGAAGGAACCCGAACGAACAAAGTGAATTTTATTGCTAAGGGGCAGTGAAGAGGAAGTTGTTGGAGTCTGATTATTGTTTCACCCAGCCCACGTGTCGGACTGTCCCAGATCAACAACCTATGCAATATGCTCACAGTCTGTTCGTTCAAGCAGCCTAATGGCTACTGGCATCTAAATCACTATTGCATTAAAATTATTTTTTGTGGTTGTATGTTGTGTTTTTGTTTCACAGATTCCATTCAGCAATGCCACATTGAAAATCAGTGCAGAATGCCGCCCATCTTTAGGTGGATGGAATTAGTTTACCTGTATACAGTACATTAAATTTAGTTACATTTATAAATATTGCTGTATTTTATTTTATCTAATATTATATATAATATAATATATTTTATCTAATATTTGTTCATTTTCCAGAGGCGGTGGTTTACGACACCAACTGTCT